CCCATCCTCCCTCCACCCCCAATTGGAACAAATCATTTGTTTTATTTATTTTTTTAACAGAACGGCATTTTATTTCTCTCAGGCCGAAAGCATCGGCATATGAAGTACAAAAGTATTTTACATTGCGGTGAACAGAGGAAACCTGGAGCTTTTTGCAATTTTCATTTCATTCATTGTCAAAAAATGTACATAGTTTCTTTTGGACATAGATCTTAGGGCAGTTAAATAATTGCTGGAGTTGTGAGTTTGGACTTTTTGAATAGTGTTTTGGAATGTACATGTCCCTTTGTGCATTGACATAGTTACATTTGAAAATACAGTGGAATTCATCTCCAAAGTCAAAACTATCACACAACTTGCGTAAACGTTATAATTAATTCAAGGAGGTTTTAGTTCATTTACGGCAAGTATGGGTTGTTGAAGACCTATTCTACCCCGGATCTTCACGGGTCTCATTCAACGGGGTTTTATTCCATTTAAAACACATTCTACGTCATGCTACAGAATAGCGGTGTGGTGAAACGAAATACGGATTATACTAGGTCGCAGGTGAGAATTAATGTTTGAATCAGATCAACGCCCGCACCATGCTCTACACACTCCCTGTCATAAAAATTCACTTCAGTAACATGGCAATATATTGACATGTTTATTTGCGTCTTGTTGGGGCACTGGTGGCCCAGTCGTCAAAAGCGCCGCAATTCGCTGTGCAGAGTTGCGTCCCCTGGGCACGCCAGAAACCTATGATTGTGGCTTCGAATGCCGGTTCGCCCCGATTATGTTTCTAGGTTTGTCAGCACCATACCCGTGCTCGTGGGTTTCATCGAAGTGGTAAATGTCTGAGACCTGCATTACTTCGGGCTTTCCTCCCACATTAAGCTGACACGCCGCGATATAACTGGAATACTGTTAAAAGCGGCGTTAAACACAACTCACTCACTAAGCCGCGCTGTATGCAAATAGTTGCAAATGGATCAACAACTCTCGATGCGCAAGTACACCCCGTCCGTACTCTTTCCATCGCCGATACCCTTTGCGAATCCTACATACAATATGGAGCACCGCTCGCTCATATACGTAAGTACGAAGCATCACTCGTTCATTTTAGGGAACTGGATGTGGGAATATATCCCGGAGAGGCACGGGTTAATACTTTAACTGTCATTTGAAAAATAAAATGACAGGTAAAGCGATAAGCAACTGTATGTAAACCAAGGGTATAAAAAGCTTAATAACCGTATTTACCAGGAATGTCCGTCTTTGTCTATAAGGTGTCTTCATATATCGCTAACTTGACTACATATCACGTTTCAAGGATGATATTTACTGAGATTTTAATTGGAAAGTTTCTACGAGTTTAAAAGAAAAATGCTAATCCTTACATAAAAGCAACTGGGGGCGGTTTTATTATACTGCATGTCCTTTTTTTTAACCGACAATACTGTTCAGGCAAATCACGTTCCAAAGCGTTAACTCAATACGAGTGACATATGTGCACACAGCTCTATTGATCCTAAGGTTTGAGGTGATATATTAATGTTTAACGCAGCTCTCAGCAATATTCCGGCGATATGACGGCACGCGGATTCATACAGTTTGCACATTGGTTTTTCGATCCATACCTCAATGAACCGAAAAAAATACACAGTCAATCCTTAAATCAACCAAGAGTTACGTGTCGATTCCCAAATTGAAACAATATGTTAACCCAGAATCTGTACGTGAAAGATCTGTACGTAAAACAAACAACCAACAAGTGGTACACAATCAACAAAAGTTTACAAATCAGCACAAATTCCTTCACAGCAAATACAATGGCGGTAAACAGTGCGTCAGTATGGTTTAACGCCGCTTTTAACAATACTCCAGCAATATCACGGCGGGGGATACCAAAAATGGGCTTCACCCATTGTACCCATGTCGGGATTCGAACCCGGGAACGAGCGAACGCTTTAACCACTTGGCTACCCGACAGCCCCTGGCAGTAAACAATAGAGTGGTAGTACAATATTCAATGGCCATAAACAATATGATGGCAGTCCTCAGTATCAAAAACAAAAATACAGTGGTGATAGCTAAGGTCAGTGATAATAATGTATATTCAATTAGCGACTGTGGCCAAGCTTTCGGGATGGGCTAGGCAGGGAATCAGGAATGGTGAGCGATCCTCACATGAAAGCTGGTTTCAAAGCCCTGAAAATGTGTGTGAGTGAGAGACCAAATGTGCGAGAGATGCTTAAATACGCTACTGTCCCCTTATACAGTCCTACTCGCTTCCAGAAAACCACAGAATAGTCCGTTCCAGTCCACGGTATACTAGAAGTTAACACACCACATTAGTATCTAAATATAGTAACTTTCTGACGACTGCTTAGAATAAAAAGTACTACATTTCTGACGACCAATCACTACCAAAACACAATGGAATGAGCGTCTACCGAATCTCAATTAAAACACAGTTACAATCATTGTTAAACAGTAAGATACACAGTTATGAAAAACAAGTGAAAACGAGAATGATCATCCGATTCATTTGGTCGCCTCTTTCAACCAGCATACGCCGCTGGTGATATCGTCGTTTGTTTGTTTGTTGTTTAACGCCGCACTCAGCAATATTCCAGCTATATGACGGCGGTTTGTAAATAATCGACTCTGGATCACACAGTCCAGTGATTGTTATCAAGAGCATCGATCCACACAATTGGGATACGATGACATGCATCAACCAAGTCAGCGAGCCACCCGATCCAGTAAGTCGACTCTTACGACCAGAATAGTCGCCTCTTTCGACAAGCATAGTCGCCTCTTACGACCAGCATAGTCGCCTCCTACGACAAGCATTGGTTGCTGAAGAGGGGATCTATTCAAACCCGGAAATCCGACGGGATATATTTGTGATTGGATGTTGTCGGATGCCGCAATCGTGGTTATTTCAGCCTGTACGTTTTGGGAGGCACACCAGTGAATGAGACAAAGTAATGGTCGATAGCAGGAGCGACGTTCCGAGGCAAGAGCGAAGAAACAGTCCGGTCAAACCATACTATCCCAAACGTAGGGGATTTTCGAAAACAGTTAACTACGTTTATATCGAATACGCTTATAACGAACTGACGGATATAACGAACTGTTTTTTGGCACCGGCCATTTGCTGTTTATATGCTTATAACGATCTTCGCTTGTCACGAACTAAAATACGTGGTCCCTATGAGTTCGTTATAACCGTAGTTTGTATAAGAGATGATTACATGAATACAAAGATTTATCGAGTGATGGTAATGGATGAGTAAGAAGGAAGGACTAGGTGTAACATGACCCACGATTGGTCAAACATTCGTTCTTACGGCGTGGCATGGTCCGAATCAATCTCCCAATCGCGTACCTATTCCGCCCGGTGATTTCCAGGGGGTCTTACTAAGAACAGCGTACCTTTTAATCACCAGGAATCACAAGGAATGTCATTATGATTGACAGACTTTGTTCAAACATATGGTCTCTCGCAACAAAACCTTTGTCAGCACCACACATGTGATCGTGCGTTTCACCCAAGAGGTAAACGTCTGAAATCTGCCTCACTCCGGCTTGAATACCGATTGACATGAAAGTCATTTTATAATAAAATATAAAATAATTGCACGAATTTATAAAGAACTTAATAAGTCTGAAAAAACATCACCAGACTTAAACCATGTTAGTGAAAACATCACTGATATTTACTATAACTTTTTTATTTTTAGCTGGCTATAGACTAAAGGTTACAGACCGAAGGAGACTACGTGTATAATCTAATCCCCTAATGCATAGCTGAGTGAGTTCTAGATATGATCAATGGCGACTGGCAAAGTGGGAACCCCCCTACCACACCCCCACACACCCCACAGCCCCATATAAATGAAAGCGGCGTAAAGACCTGGGGTAGAATAGGTCTGTAGAATAGTTTGTATATAATTAATCTGTAACATTGTAACGCGTGACACGCAAATAGACTACTTCTCTCTGGGTCTTCGAGCAACCCATTCTTGCTGTAACCTATAGGCGACTATGCTTATCGTAAGAAGCGACTAACGGGATCGGGTGGTCAGGCTCGCTGACTTGGTTGATGCATTTCATCGTGTCCCAAATGCGTGGATCGATGCTTATGATGTCAATTACTGGCTTGTCTGGTCCAGACTCGATTATTTACAGACCGCCTTCATATAGCTGGAATATTGCCGAGTGCGGCGCGACAACAAACAAACAAACAAACAAAGCGGCGTTAAACCCAACTCACTCACTCACTCTGATCAAAACAACGTTCTTGTCGCCCTTTAAAGTTGTTGTTGATTGCACTTCCCAGGGACGTGAGATGTCATGATTTATATAATGCATTTTACTTGTATCAACGTCGGCATAGTTTAAATAACTGCTTATTCAAGGGGCTTATCTCTTCCCTTGCATAATCCCTTCCCGTTCCTCGTGCACGGCTCACCTGTAACGGGATCAAAACAACAAAGTCTTTCGCCGGGGCAGGTCACAAGCTGGATGTCATATCAATAATCAGGCAATGTGTTCAGGTAGGAGGATTTTTTCCCCCGTCTCACATTATAATGTCGGTGCTCCGTCCTCCAGTGGCTGTAATACCGGTAGACGATGAGTGAGTGAGTGAATTGGGTTTACGCCGCTTTTAACAGTATTCCAGTTATATCACGGCGTGTCAGCTTAATGTGGGAGGAAAGCCCGAAGTGATGCAGGTCTCAGACGTTTACCACTTCGGTGAAACCCACGAGCACGGGTATGGTGCTGACAAACCTAGAAACATAATCGGGGCGAACCGGAATTCGAACCCACAATCATAGGTTTCTGGCGTGCCCAAGGGAAGCAACTCTGCACAGCGAATCGCGGCGCCTTAGACGACTGGGCCATCCGTGCCCCCTGGTAGACGATGAACGAAATCCTACTCATTCACCACTTCAATAAATACGAGGGACATGTTTATCCTTAAAATTATTCTTTTTCTTTTCCAGATTTTCAAACTACGACAAGATGATCAACAACTCAAGCACATACTCAACCCTTAATGACGTCACTGGGACAAGTCCCACCTTTGACGACGTCATTAGTACGGTTCCCTCTTTCGATGACGTCACCAACATCTCGCACCTGTTCCATCGAAAGAAGAAGTCAGGATCTCATAACGTGACCGCGGAGGATCTGGAGTCGTTTAAAATTGCCGATGTCGTTAATCTGTACATTCCGCCAGTGATTCTCGTGGCCGGAAATCTCTGCAACATCCTGTCAATCGTGGTCATGCGCACTCGCCACTTCCAAAACATCTCCACGTCGATATACATGATAGCGTGTGCTATCAATGACACGGTGAGCTTGTGGATTTCTCTGTTAGCACATTGGCTGTACGTGAACTTTCCGGAGGCAATAATACGCACGGAGTATTCACACATTATGTGTAAGTTTTTTAACTTTTATGGCTGGGGGAACTGTGACTATACGATAATCCTCACCGCGGCCATGACCGCCGACCGCGCATTTGCAATAATGTATCCTATTAAGGCCTCCGTTCTTAATCTGACCAAACGGGCGAAAATCACGGTGTCCTTGTTGGTGATAATAGTTGTTGCTAAGGAGTTCCACCTTCTCATTTCTTCCGACATCGTCCCTGCCACGCGACGTGATCGTCTCTGCGACGTTATCCCAATATCCCCCACCTACAAGTACTTCTGGGATGACGTATGGCCGTGGATTCATATCACATATCTCACCGTGTGCTTCGTCGTAATACTTAGCAGTAACGTCATAATATTCCTCAACGTCAGGCGTTCTGAAGAGATGAAGGACTTCATACAAACCGGGCACCGAGAAAGGAGCGGTTCGGAGACGTCCACCAGCAATGCCGGGACCCGGTCAAAGTTGTTGCAGATCACGACGATGTTGCTGGCGCAGTCAACGACGTTGATTCTTCTGACGTATCCCTTTTCTCTACATCTCGCGATTTCCTCCCAGATTCCTGACCTGTACACGGACCCTGTTAAGAAGGCAGCCAACCAGTTGGCTTTTTCTGTGGTGTTTTATTTGCTCTATTCCAACAAGTGCGTCAATTTCACAATTTACTGTATTAGTGGTGAACGATTTCGACTCGCACTGAGAGAAGTGTTGTGTTGCAGATCATCCCGGAAACGTCACGTCACCATCACTATGATGATAAAACCCGTCATCTCTGCAAGCCAGACCACCATCAGCACCATATCCAGTATCCAGATGTCATCTCTCAAGGACACAAGTAAACAGGTGCGCGATGTTCCGGGATAAGCACGGAGCGCACGTTCTGCGCGTGCTCCTGATCCCATGCCACGTCGCGCACGTGCCTCATGACCAAATGCCTCGTGACCTGTTTCGATGAGATCACTCTTGTGGCAGGAGGGCGGTTACTTTTCGTATTGACGAGGACAAATTAATTATTATATGTTCGTCAGAATCGCCGCCTGTTTATGTTCACGTTGTGCAGCGGTTCAAAATATTCAAAGAACAAAGTATTCTCATGGTTTTTAGAGACAGGTTCAAATGCATTCATTTAATTTTGTATACTTGAAAACCGATTCAAAGATTTTTTATCAATAAACTTCGATCCGGGCACATACAGACGTCACATCCTGAAGTGACGTCACATCCTGTGCAAAAAAGACCACAAAGAAAACATGATACACTATTGATGAGAACTAATTGTTTTAAATTCTCGACTGCTTTAATCCTTCTTCGGGAGAAAACACCAGGTCTTGTTATCAGCTATTGTGTCTAACCAAACAAATGTAAACAGAGTTGTGCAGAGTTGCGTCCCTTGGGCACGCCAGAAACCTGTGATTGTGAGTTCGAATCCCGGTTCGCCCCGATTATGTTTCTAGGTTTTCCAGCACCATACCCGTGGTCGTGGGTTTCACCGAAGTGGTAAACGTCTGAGACCTGCATCACTTCAGGCTTTCCTCCCACATTAAGCTGACACGCCGCGATATAACTGGAATACTGTTAAAAGCGGCGTTAAACCCAACTCTCTCTCTCACTATTATTATTATTTGGTGTATACAACCTTCGAACCGATGTGGAACCATCTTTTAACAATTATGAAGTCAGTAACAGTAGATCGATATGGATAGGGCTCCTCCGCGTGTGCCTTGTGAAGGAACACGCCACCTGTAGATTATCCTCTCTGAAAGCACTTCAATATACATGGTTCTGAATATATGTTTTCTTCCTACCACCGACCCCACGGGATTTAAAACAGCTGTAAACCAAGTACTAACATACGGAGAATTGCATGGAGTGTACATATAGCTTTTTTCTATCAACTGTCTATGTATGTTTGTGAGTTAACTTTTTAACGGCTGTGTTATAATGTGTGTTACATACCGATTGACTTAACTGTGAACCCCGTACATATATTAGATAACCAGATAGACCTTTAGGGTTATATAGTTAATATACGGTTACATGTATCTCATTTCCATACATGTTCATTATATCTTGCCATGTTCTAGGTTTAGAAACGCAAATTTATCAAGATTTTTTAAAGAAACATAATTTTGTCGATATTCATGAGAAAGCATTAAAGTGTGACGTCGTGTAACCATGGAAACAGTTTGTAGCAGGGAAGTTATTAATAAAATACTTTACACTGTAGACTTTAGTGGAATATGTCAAAACCAGACTCTGATTAATCCGGATCTCTGTCAATAATGGACAACATTTTCTGTCCCGAATGTATTTCGTTGATTTTGCAGGAAATAAATTCTGACCATTTTATCTTGATATCCTTGGGTGGAAACTTGAGCAATGTCATCTCTTATAGGATCCATTCTAATTAGTGCCTTTTACCCTGCTTAAAGGCGAATGCGGTTGTGTAGCATACTATTCAAAGCGATGGTTCCTCATTTAAAACGGGGTTCGATTCCCCCTCAAGTGTAAGGTATGGAACCAAATCGTGATGTCCCCCGTCGTAATAGGGCATGATTATTGCTGAAAGCGAGGTAAACCAAAACTCCTCACTCACTCACTCACTCACTCACTCACTCACTCACTCACTCTTCCAAATATCCATGATTTACCCGAAAACCTTAAAGGACATTGAAATCGCGTGTCAGAATGTATCAATCAGTTTGACTAAATGTGAAGACACACTTTCTGATCTCAGCAAATTTGGGAATTCCGAAGCAGTGATTGCATATTGAAATTTGGGAATTCCGAAGCAGTGATTGCATATTATTTGGCACCGCAGAGAGAGTTATTCAAGAATTATCAAGGTGGGTTGTAAATACTTGACCCAGAGCCACTCGGCTGAGTGTTTGTGCAATGAAGTGCGCACATTCAGATTCTCTCTCTCTCTCTCTCTCTCTCTCTCTCTCTCTCTCTCTCTCTCTCTCTCTCTCTCTCTCATGCACGGTCATACACGGGGCATTCACAATCACTCACACATACCCACACACAGAAATATGGTCTCACTCACATAATCACACACACAACATACATACGCACACACACAAGGTCACACAATGCTGCAACTCTATCCTAAATCTAGTTGGCAGTTACGAGAGCAGGGTACGGGGCTCACTGGAAGAAGGGCCCCAAGTTAGCTGATTTCAGCTGATAATTTAGCCTTAAAGCCTTGTGACTTGTCCCTCAACTGTAACAGTGCTGGCCTTATCCTGAGGTTAAGTTATTGGTCACGTGATTAAAACGGATCACAATCTTCACGTTAAGTAAAATAATCGATTTGCTTGCTAACCTACTAGCATGCAAACATTTATAGCTCCTACTATTTTTCCATGCAGTGTAATGACCATCGTGTTGTGAGTCACCTGCGTTCGATGGTATATATATACTCTTCTAAAAAAAAAAACGCACAGGTAGTGTGTCGTTCATTGAACCTGACTACACAGAGAATCCAGTATATAAATTGGATATATGTTATTGGAAAATGTTGGTGGCCTGATTTTCGACAAAAGGTGCCTCAAAACGCAGCCATTGTCGATTTGCAATGTCTTAAACGGCATTGTTGTCACACTTTTTAAAAAATGTCATGGAGGAAAACATTGAAGCAAAATGCACGTGCAAGTTATGGCATTCGTAACTCGTGGTAGTGGCTATAAAAAGGCAAGCAAAAGCCAATAATTTGTCATTCAATTGTCAACATTTTTCAAGTTCGAAAATGCCGAGACTCAGCGCTGCCGATCGGAACATCGCCAAAGGACGTATCAAAAGAGGTGAATCGCAGTCTACTTCAACGTCCACCACAGCACCATATGCCGCCTTTGGGACCGATACACACAGTTCAATTCCACTGCAGACCGTCCGAGAACCGACCGAGAACAGGCCGACGAAGAGTTACCACCCCTGCACAGGATCGCTACAATCGACTGTTCCACCTACGTCATCGCAATGCCACAGCTACGGAGACTGCAGAACGCATACCTGGTTTGAGGAGGATATCGGAGCAGACTGTCAGGAATCTGTTTTGAAACAGATCCACCGACAACGACGCTTGCATTGGTGCTATACCTTACAGCCTTGGAATTGAGAAACTGGAGACAGGTGTGGTTTAGCGATGAATCACGATTTCTTCTTCACCGGCGAGATTGAAGACAACGTGTTTATCGTCGTCGAAATGGGCGTTTTGCCCCACATTGTGAACGTGAACTCGATTCGGTGGCGGTAGTGTCAAGGTGTGGGGGGCCATATTTTACACCACGAGGTCTGACTTTGTTGTGGTTCAGGGAAATTTGACAGCATATCGCTACATGAATCTTTTAAAAGTTGCTTAGTTGAATTTGTCATGTCAGAAAACATATTATTAGACACTAAAATCATGACTATCGGACAATGTTAACCATGTTTGTGAATTTCACCGACTGACAAAAGTGCGTTGACCTTTCAACGTTTTTGGCCATAGCTCCCCCATTTAAGGTCGGAAGTATAACAAACTATATATTTCTAGGTTCCTTATGACTGGACGAGTAATTTTATATACATATCGACACAATTTTGAATTTTGACCCCTGTTTGACATTTGTTGACCCTTCCCCAAAATGCCCGGGATTTTCAACCGGGCAGCCAAAGTCAAAATTGTTCAGTATACATCAGGAAACTCAAAAACACTAAGTCTTTCAAACCTTTGTTTCCATGATTTGGTCACGGCACCTACAGGTTGGTCTTCTAGTATTCGTTATTGAATTGCTACATCATGCCAAGATTGACAAGAAATCGGCGACACCAAGCCCACCAAGGCGATACCACCCGGCAAGTAGCCAATGCATTTCAAGTCCACGTAAAGACCATATACAGGCTCCAGCAACGGTACTAGACCACCAACACTGCAGATGACCGACCATTGTAGTGGAAGACAAAGGGTCACCACCCGCCGTCAGGATCGTCAGATTGTGCGACAGCATCTTCAAGATCGCTTTCTTACTGCTACGGAAACTGCTCGACAGACCATGGGGACACACCAGCGAAACACATTAGTGCGGACACCGAGCGTCGACGATTGACGAGCAGACACCTCCACTGTCACAGGCCACACCGAGGACCCATTCTGACACCACGTCATCGCCGGGACCGTCCTCAGTGGACAACACAGCACCAGCATTGGCGCCACCAGCAGTGGAGAAGAGTCCTCTTCTCAGACGAGAGCCGTTACTGTATCTCAACAGCAGATGGCAGAAAAAGAATCTGGCGACGCCGTGGGGAACATTATTCGGATGCTTGTGTTGTTGAGAGAGATTCGTTGGTGGTCCGAGCATCATGGTGTGGGGTGGAATTGGTCTTGCACAGACGGTCGGCCCTGTGGTCTTCCAGAACATCGGTCCAGGGAGATTCAATGGTGTCACAGCAGCTCGGTACATTGATCAAGTCTTGAGACCACACGCCATACCTCATTCGGCACGTCGCCGCAACCACGAGTTTCAGCATGATAGTGGCCTGCCCTCAGTCCTGATTTAAATCCCATTGAGCACCTGTGGGACGAGATTCAAAGACGGCCGACAACTGCACCTGAACTGCGTCAGGCGTTCCTCAGAGTGTGGGCTCAAGTGCCTATGGCCTTCATCAACCGCCTCATCCATTCCATGTATCGACGTTGCACGGCAGTCATCAATGCACATGGCAGACACACGAGATACTGACTTGTGATGCCATCTTCTCAGCGACTAGTGTTGTGTTTCACTTTAAGAACATTTGACACTTTAATTTCAACCTTGATGATCACTTTTGCCAAGTTTCGTCTTTTCAATATGTCTCAAAGTATGTTAACAGTGTTTGGACAAATAAGGTTTCTCACATATCTATCCATGGTGACGTTTCTTTTGCGGTTCAGTATATATCGACTTTATTAGGTACAATAAATTTACTAAAAATCTACCTGTGCGGGGTTTTTTTAAGAGTGTATATATATATGTATGATTTTTCGGTCACAGCCGCTATTTGTTGCGTGTTGCAGAGTTGCGTCCCTTAGACGTACCAGGAACCTTTTCAAACTCTATTTCGTCCTGATTTTGTTTCTAGGTTTGTCCCCAACATTCCCGTACACGTGGGATCGTACAAACAAATGGTCTAAGACCTACATCACTTCGTGCTTTCTTGCCAAACCAAGCTGGCAAGCCCTGATATTGCTGCAACACTGGTTAAAGGCGTTAAACCAAACTCACTCCTAATTGTTTCCTTTTTGTTTCCTATTTTGGTATTTTACTCTTATGACGTTTTTCACAAGATCAGGTTGCCCTTGCCTCACACGGCCATCCTGCCCCGACAGCTTGGCTCGCTCTTCTTGCGGTCAATCACTGGTTTGTCTGCTCCGCTTGAATCA